AGGTGTGTGGATTTACATATGGGTCTTCAAATCAATTCCATTGATCCACCTGTCTGTTTTTATGCCAATACCACGCTGTTTTTATTACTATAGCTCTGTAGCAGAGCTTAAAATCAGGGATGGTGATACCTCCTGATGTTCTTTTACTATACAGAATTGTTTTAGCTATCCTGGGAGTTTTGTTTCCCCAAATGAAAGTGAGTATTGTCCTTTCAAGGTTTGTTAAGAATTGTGTTGGAATTTTGATGGGGAGTACATTGAATCTGTATATTTCTTTTGGTAAGATTGCCATTTTTACTATGTTAATCCTACTGATCCATGGAAGATCTTTCTATCTTTTGATATCTTCTTCAGTTTCATTTTCAAAGACTTAAAAGTTCTTGTCATACATGTCTTTCATTTTCTTGGTTAGAGTTACTCCAAGATGCATTATTCATGGCTATTGTGAATGATGTTGTTCCCCAGCATTCTTTCTTAGTCCATTTGTCACTTTTGTATACGAGGGCTACTGATTTTTTTTTTAGTTAATCTTGTATCCTGTCACTTCATTAAAGGTGTTTACCAGCTGTAAGAGTTCCCCGGTAGATTTTGGGGGTTGCTTATGAATACTATCTGCAAATATTAATACTTTAACTCCTTCCTTTCCAATCTGTATCCCCTTGATACTCGTTGGCTGTCTTATTGCTCCTGCTAGAACTCCAAGTACTATATTGAATAGATACAGCCCTTCCTTGTTCCTGATTTTAGTGGAATTGCTTTGATTCTTCTCCATTTAATTTGATAAATTGCCTTTATTATGTTTAGGTGTGTTCTTATATCCCTAATCTATCTAAGAGTTTCATCATAAAGGGGTGTTGGATTTTGTGAAAGGCTTTTTCAGCATCTAATGAGATGATCATGTAGTTTTTTTTCAGTTTATTTATATTGTGGATTACATTGACTGGTTTTCATATGTTGAACCATTCCTATATCTCTGGAATGAAGCCTACTTCATCATGGTGGTTGATTTCTTGATGTGTTCTTGGATTTTGTTTGTCATTTATTGAAATTTTTTTGCATCTATGCCCATGAGGGAAATTGGTCTGTAATTCTCTGTCTGTGTTGAATCTTTGTGTGGTTTGGGTATCAGGGTGACTATGACTTCATAAAATGAATTTGGCAATGTTCCTACTGTTTCTATTTTATGGAAAACTTGAGGACTATAAGTAATAGCAATTCTTTGAAAGTCTGGTAGAATTCTGCACTAAAACCATCTGGCCCTGGGCTTTTGTTTGTTTGCTTGTTGGCTTCAGAGACTTTTAATGACTACTTCTATTTCCTTAGAGGTTACAGGTCTGTTTAAATTGTTTATCTGATCTTGATTTAACTTTGATAAGCAGTATCTATTGAGAAAGTTATTGATTCCTTTGAGATTTTCTAATTTTGTGGAGTACAATTTCAAAGTAAGACAAATGATTATTTGAATTTCCTTGGTGCCTATTGTTATGCCCCCTTTCCTTTCTGATTTTGTTAATTTGGATATTTTTCTCTCTTTTAGTTAAGTTTGGATAAGGGTTTTCTGTCTTGTTGATTTCCTATTTTTCTTTTTATCTCTTCTAATGTATATTCTTGAGAAGAAACACAATACATGCAATGAGTATTTGAAAACTTAGTCAGAAGTTGTTGAATCCTACCTCCTTAGGTAAATGGCATAAACTACACAAATGACATACTTTATATGCAGTATGGCAAGTTTTCTTCAATTCATATTGCCAGCATTCTCCTGGAGTCTGGGGTGAGACAGCACATGTAAGAAGCAGTTGCTGTGGACTGTAGCATATCTCTTCACCCCAAAATGTACATGCTGAAGTTGCAGTGTGACTGAATTCAGAAAGGAATAGAGCTCTGGGGAGGTGTTAGTGTGATGTGAGGTTATAAGGATGGGGCCCCATTAATGAGGCTGTGTCCTTCTAAGAAAAAGGAGAGTCCAGGGCACTTCTCTCCATGGACAGCAGGGGAAGACCATGAGAGGTAGGTAGAGACATAGAGGCCAGGGAAAGAATCTTGAGCCAAATCAGCTGACATTTTGATCTGGAACCTCCAGACTCTACACTACGAGAAAATAAACTTCTACTTCTGAGCTACCTGATTAAAATATTAGCTAATACCTGATTGGACGTGTAGTCTTCCCACCAGTCGCTTGGGTCCCACTGTTGTCTCAGTCCCCAAATAACACATGAGACACTATATTAATTATGAAGCTGTTGGCCGTTTGCTTTGATTTCTTATTAGCTAGCACTGACCTAATTATTAACCCATAACTGATAATCTAAGTATTTGCACATGATCTTCTCTTACCAGACAAAAGGTCCAGACCTCTTACTCCTCTGGCATCCTACATCGTGATTGACTGTGCCTCTGTTTCCCAGAATCCTCCTCGACTCCTCGTCCCACCTATCTTGCTTCCCTATTGGTCAACAGTGCTTTATTTAATAAACCAATAAGACAACATATACACAGGACTTCCCCCATCACCTGATAAATCAATAAATGAACATTTAATGAAATATTGTCTCTACACAGTAGTCTCAAAACAAATGTCAGTCTTAGATTTTGCTTTCATTGATTTAAAGGAAAGTTTCCCAGAATCACCCAATAATATAGTTGGGCATTATGACAACCCCACTGACATATGATCTTTCCATCTTTTTTCATTTGTGGGCCCAAGCAGTCATTACCCATAGGTCATCAAGACTATACTGCTGGAAGGGGCCAGCAGCAAGAAAGAGCATAGTTATTGCACAGAAAGAAGGGGAAAGTATATGACTAGCACATTATTCTGTAAGCAGTCCAGGTAACATACAGCAGGCAGACAGCCGCTCCCGACAGGAGCTCTACATGCTTTGGCAAGAAGGTGCTGTGCAGCAGTAGGCAAGTGGCTTCCTGCTGGGACAGCAATGGAAAAGGTGACCTCACAGAGGAAGTTAGCATAGAAATGTCTGAACAAAAGATGAAATACCACGGCTGAAGCTTTAAGTTGTTTGCTTCCAGGCTTGTAAAACTGTAAAGATGTTCAGCCAAAAGAAATGAGCCCACATGAGTTAGTGTTTGCTCTCTACTGAATCCTGTGAGAGTCTTCTAAGAGGTGCAGGCGGGAGAACAAAGGAAATTAGTCAAGAGCCACTGGACCTGGGTGACTTCATGCTGCCCTGGCCCTTCCCAGCAGAGGGCACACAGACCTAGGACTCAGGAGACAGCAGCCAGAGAGAAATCCCACAAAGCCTTTTCCTCCCCTCCCAGCTGGAAAGGGAGGAAGGCAGCTTAAATAGGATTATAGCAGCCACCCAAGTCTTTTACTATAGGAATGTGTATACCTACATCAACACAGAATGTACTTGAGACCTGAGGCCTCTTGCCTCAGGGGCTAATTGTTGCCTCAGTTACTAATTGATCCTGAAATTCACTGAATAAAGCAGGCTTTTGCAAGCAAAAATGAAATACATAACTGCATATGGAGCTGAGAAACAAAAAGTCTAGAAAAAAAATCTCTCCCACTCACCCCTTCCCCAAAAGGCTTTTTGCTTTTAAATAGGGATTTACATTTTGAGCAAGCCTGACTCAAGTTACATATATAACACGGGTAGGGTGTAATTTTAGAGGCCTGTCAGAAAGAGGGGGTGTGGGTACATAAGACTTATTTGTATTTTTATTTATACTTCTCACAGATTGAAATGAAAATTCAGGAGAACTTCCCAAGAAAAACCTCAAGCTAATTCAAGCCTGCAGTCTGGAGATGCGTTTAGCCTACAGCGCCCTCTTGTGTCCATGGGCATCGTTCAAATTCGCCTCCAGGCAAAAAGCAAACCACTGTCTAAGCCCCAAGTCTACAGCATGCTTGGTTTGCCAGTCACCGAGTCTGCAAAGTGCCAGTTACTGTGGGACCTGGAACTGAGGTGTGTTTTTAAAAGCCATGGTTTCCTTCTGTTCTTACCGAGACACAGCTGGGCTGCTTCTCTTCAAGCTGTGTTGGATCACTGGGCTCATGAGCAGGTATCCGACTGGCTTTGGCAGAACAGCTTTAAGTCACAGGGACCACTCTGAAACTAAGTCAACACCCCAAGTGGAACAGTGAAACCGAGGGCTGGCCTTGGATTTGAAAAGCCATGTTGGTCTTGTTACCTAGATCTCACTCACTAATCTGACACTTAAGCTTCACATTTCCATCTGAAAATGCAGACTTTACATTCAACCCTGTAGGAGTGAAGGTGAGAATTCACACCTGAAGACTTGAATCTGGGACTGCCACAGTGGAGTCTCCGAAGCATCTTCTTCAAGCCTTCCGGGGTGTAGCAAAGGTAATCTGACACTGTGAACATCTTTCGTCAAGTAAAACTCAGGGATGGTCAAGGGAGCACAGATAACTATGGACCAAGAAAACCCTGTGACACTGTCATACTTCTGGCTTTGGCCATTTTTTCCCACGTCTGTCACCGTTGCTTCCTAATCAGCCATGAGATCTGATGTAGGTGGGCCTGGACCTGTGACTCACTTCCAACTGAGGAACAAGGCTCGCATTACACAAGACAGCAAGCCCATCCTGCTACATCTCCTGCTGGCTGTGCTGGGAAAGCCCACGTGACAAGGAGCAGAACACAGCCTCTAGCTTACCTTCAGAGGCCGAGAGTAGCACAAGGCGTGGGAAGCTGCAGCCAAGCAGCTGAGGGAGGAAGCACGCTCAGTAGCACCTCAGCCAACAAGCCCATGCCCACTTCACTGACCAGAAAAATGCTAAGCCCGGCGGTGGTGGCCACACCTTTAATCCCAGCACTCGGGAGGCAGAGGCAGGCGGATCTCTGTGAGTTCGAGGCCAGCCTGGTCTACAGAGCAAGTTCCAGGACAGCCTCCAAAACAATATGGAGAAACCGTGTCTCAAAAAGCCAAAAAAAAAAAAAAAGTAAAATGAAATAAATGTGCTGTTACAAGATGCTAAAACATACAATGATGGAGGATTACTATAGGTCTTTAATTTAAAACATTTTATTATAAAAGTAATACAAATAACAAATGAAATGTCGAGAGAAACAAAGTTATCCATTCACTGCCCTGCCATCCTACTATAACAACAGTTGGTAATTTGATTATCTACTTTTACAGCCTGGTGTGTCATTTGCTTCCATGACCATGTTCTAATGCTCTTGTGTCCAGTTTTCATTGTAGCATTTTCTCAGGTACCATTTCATGGGTACATGTCCATTTCATGGGTACTAGTCCATTGACTCCAGGTGTGGGATGGCATAGGCATATACAGATTCCCCCATCTGAACATATCCTTACTATAAACCTTCATATAACTATAATGTCTCTGATAAGAATGTTCTAGGCTAACTACCCTATATTTGCACGCAATATAGATTCTTCTTCTTATATATAAGAAGGTTTTATGCTGAAAGCAAGCTTATGGGTCGGCACTAGCTAAAGGCAAGCCTGACTACCTCTGAGACACAAAATGAAGCAGACTGATGGCCCTCAAATCCAATCTTTCACGAATGAAATCAGCATCAGGACAGGTGTCATCTTCTAAGAGAAATATTCTGTAACACAAAGAAAGAAGATCAGAACGCTCCTAGTGGAGAACATATGTAAGAGTAAGATTAGAAAGGTATTTCATGTAACTATCCCAATTAGGCTGACAACTGTAGAGAAAGCACATGCCAAATATGTATTAAAATGTTACTGACAATGTCAAGTGCCAGCATTTGTAAATAAGTGTTTTGATGAAAACTATTACTGGCCTTTGCATTTCATCTCAGTTACTCACTTAAGATGCATGATGATGTCACAAAATGCTCTGGGAAAATAAGAATTTCTCCAGAGAATAGGAAAACCAAATTATTTCTGCATTGCATAAGACAGAGACAGTTTTCAGGGGAATAAAAACCAAGCCTTTTCTTCCTTGAAGTGGAAACCAAGTGGCCTGATCCACGCCTTTTCTCTTCCATCACTGTTTCCTGGCAGTTAGTTCAAAACTGACCTGCGGGTCCGGCAGCATAAATCCATCTGTAAGCTTATAATAGACTATTGTGGAATCCGACTCCACTATGGCCAAAGTAAAAGACATCGGCAGTTCTGGGTCACCTTGCAATTTTCTAGATGCCTTCAAGATTTCCCTTATCCTGAAAATGAAGACAAAGTATATGTGAGACTCACAGTCACCCAGTTAATGATACGATCAAGCAGTATAAATTCTTGAGGGAAAAGTAAAATATTGCTAAGGCAATGTCTGAGGCTTGAACATAAACATTAAAAGTTGTCTTCTCACACAGAAAGCCCTAAGAAAGACCTACCTACTCAGATTAATTATATTTGGAACCTACAAAATACAACGCTAAGAATGGTTTGTGCATTTAATGGCTAAGGATTACAGATGCTAATTTTTCAGTTTCCCAACTTGGAAACTTAGCGGGAACAAAGTGACACTCACACCTGTACCATAGCATGGGAGACAGACTGGGGAGGGACACAGAAAATTACATAGAGTTTTAGGCCAGCTGGAGCTTACACTGTGAGACCCTGTCTCATATCTGCAAAGCAACGACTGTAGTAAACATGCCCCTTGTTTTCACATGGGTTACAAATATTACCTTTGAACATGTCACTCCCCATTGGTCACGCACTGGCCCAACTGTTCTGCTACTATGAGGTTCTTTCTGTTTTTTTTTAACTTGGGGCAGGAAAGAAGGACACAACATCGGTAAAGATAGGCTGCAGGGGGCATCTTTCTGTATGAGGACGTCTCTCTTCAAATATTTCTGGTTAGTTTTTCTACGTACCAGAACTATTAGACCTAAGTAGACACAGTCCTATGATTTCCATTACAGAGTTTGACCATAAAAATCTAAAATAAAAATAGAAAAATAAAACATTTAAAATTGATAATGGCAGCATTTCAGCTTGCTTATCCTGGAAAATAATCCACCAAATATAATTCTAGGTCTTCTAAGTACTACTAGTTTTTGTTAACTGCAAGCTAAAAATCCTTATTACCTACTCAAGAAAGTCTGTGGTCAAAAACTGGGTAAAAATGCAGCATCCCCAAACACTTTCTTAAATAAGTAAATAAAAAATGATTAGCTAGCTTATCATAAAGCAAATCAATTTCCAGTGGTTAAGATATTGAAGACAGAAGGTTAATTAGCATATTAACTTCTACCACAGAATACACAAAGGGTCTATGACTCTAATTGCATGCCTGGTAAATGTACTTGCTATTATACAACAGTAAAGGTCTCCTGCCAATTTTTCTATTTAAGTGATTGAATAAACCTGTCCTTTAAGGGTTTTTTTTTTCTTCAAGTTAATAGGAGGGAAAACATATTATATTCTGACATTCATTTCTAAACATTATTCTCTGGCATCGTTTCCCTGCTCAAAAATTTCTTCTCCCCAATACTTTTTATTTAAATTGTCATACACACTGCTTTTTAAGTTTATTTTTATGTGTGTGAGTGCTCTGCCTACACATATGTATGTTCATCCTGTGTGTGCAGTGCCCAGAGAGGCCAGAAAAGGGTGTTGGATCCTTTGGGACTAATTACTGCTGGCCAGCTGCCATGTGGGTGCTGGGAACCAAACCTGGTCCCCTGTAAAATCAATACTGCCCATAACCACCGAGCCATCTCTCCAGCCCTTATAAAGCTAGTAAATACTTTTGTCAGGAGTACAAAAGGAATTCAATGAGGACAATACTTTGAACAAACAAACTGAAGATAGTGCACCCCTTTAGAGTATTCAAAGCTGAAACGAAGTGAAAGGGCTTCTCTAAGGGTCATGTAGTCACAGCACAAGTTCTGTTAACAAGACCTATTCTAGCTTTCCTATCTTTGCAAAATATTTAATATCCACCCTTGCCTCTAAGATTACTACTACAGTAAATATTAAAATTAATCTAAACTACAAAGGCATTCTGGCTATTAGTAGGAACATAGGAAATATTCACTTTTAGAAGCAGCCTGAATACAGGAACTTGGACTTAGCTCTTAAAGGGATTCTACTTCTGCTGAATTGCATGGCCATGAACTACAGGCCTGCTGATAGGCAGTTTGGTCCAGAGATATTCAGGAGAAGTCTTGGTGAGGACTTTGTTATTCTGCTCGATGGAAAGGGTGACGAATCCATATCGAAATTAGCAGTTAAAGAAAAAAGATAACATATATAAGTTCTACTTTGAATCAGTATTTTCTACCAAAAATAAAATAGACTAATAACTGTTTTAGTCATAAACATTTTCTTTCTTTGTTTCTTTTTGTTTGTTTGTTTTTTTTGGGACAGGGTTTCCCCTGGAAATTTTTAATAATAACATATAAAATTTTAGCCAGGAGGATAGGTGGTGGCACACACCTTTAATCCCAGTACTCAGGAGGTAGATGCAGGCAGGACAGTCAGGGCTACATAGTGAGACTTGCCTTAATAAGTAAATAAACAAACAAATAAATGAATAAAAAAATTCAACAGAAACTAGAAATAAAGGGAAATGTCCTCATTATTATAAATGCCATATATCAAAACTGTTTAGCTAATGCAGTTAAAAAGACAGCTTCCCCTTTAATATAGAACAGTGCTAAGATTTCAGCTTTTGTTGAGGAAAACTAAGGTCAACAGAAGTGGAACAGCAGTGTTTTCTACAGTAAGGTGACAATACTTCTTAAATGGATCCTTAGGCTCAACACGGTCACTACAGAATCCTAACATGTTTATCTAAATCTTCTCCTATCAGTGACACATTTATTTCCCAATATGCAACATATATAAAACCTAGCACATGCCCATAAACCCTGCAATGGGCAAGCTGAAAGCAAATTTCTCTTAGTATCCCTAACTGCAGACTGTGATGAGAATAGGACACAGACAAAGGAGAAAAGACTTTAAGAAAACTTTATACAATATGATCTACTGTCTAAATTGAGGTAGGGGTGTGTGTGTGTGTGTGTGTGTGTGTGTGTGTGTGCGCGCGCGCATGTGCGCGCGCGTGCACTTGCGTTCATGTGAGTATGTGCGTATTGTGGGTGTCTGTGTGTTTTTCCTAAAGTAAAGTAGTGAACAGTATAGGGATTTTATATTTCACACTACTAAACAAGGATAGAAATTTCCACTTCAGTCACTGTTGTGTTTTGATTCTCAATTGATGTTTGTTTTCAGAATTCTAAACAGCAAAATATTTTCAGGCTTACTCAAAACACTTAAGGTTAGAGAATTAACACAGAGTTGTAAAGGAGGTTTTGTTTTCAGAGCTGAGGGAACTTACTGCCCAAATTAAATGAAAGTTCCTATTTCTGAGCTCTTGTTTATCCCTCTTGGTGGGGTGAGTAGGAAAACTACCAGTGCATCTTCACAGTGAATGGATAAAATGGTACCCGGCTGCTACCTCACCACATATGGGCAAGCTTACAAAGTTCTGTGTTTAAAGTCTTGTCTAGACTACTTTGAACATGTGTTTACTTAGAGTACAATCTTCCTAGTCAAGAATTTGTTTCTTTATGGTATATTGCATGAGCTCATAAAAACATTTATGCCAATAGGCCATGCTATCTTAGTCTTGTAAAAAACTATGGATAACAATGGAGATTCTGAAGTTCTACTTTAAAATCACACATGACTATTAAGATGCACTAAAGGGTAACTTAATTTTCAATAATATGAATTCTTATTTCAAAATAAGAGAACTCCACATGTGAACATGCCCTCTACACTAACAAGGGTTTCATTTTTTCTAATCAGTGAAATCTCAAGGAGAAATTCTCAACTAAAGAAAAGGATTTGTCAATAATATTCATAGCTTTTGATTATCAGTAATAACATTTGATGCTGATGGCAGACTTTCCCTTTTCATAATTCTTCACAGATGATCTCTATACGATAAAAAGGGGGCTGACTTTTTATTGTTGTTCTTTATTTTATTAACTTATTACATTCTAATCCCAGTTCCCCTCCCTCCTTTCCTCCCAAGCCCTCCATTCCTCCCCTCCTCCCAGCTGATCCATGGAGAGGTTAAGGCCTCCCATAGTAAGTCTACTAAATCTATCCCATCATGTAGTTGAGTCACCTCTCCACCCCCACACCCCTGTGTCTAGGCTGAGCAAGGTATCTCTCCATATAGAATGGGCTCCACTAAGTCAGTTTGTGCATTAGAGTTAGATCTTGGACCAACTGCCAGTGGACTCATATATTGTCCCAGTCACACCATTGTCACCTATATTAAGGGAGCTAGTTTGGTCTTATGCAGGTTCAAGGAGGCTGATTTTTAATAAACTGATATAACCAATTTGACAACCAGCCTAAACCAAGACAAAGTCAACACTATTTGACCAATGTCCCTAGACCAAGTTACTTATACCTTTTCCACAAATCTCAATTTTGATTTAGAGATTTGCAATGAGGGCAAGAAGCTGAAGAAAATATTACTCTTAACTAAAAATGTTGAAATAAAATCCACCATGACCTAAAAGTCATATTAATTTCTATCCACAGAAGTGTCTCTTTCTGCTCTCCTTAGTGTGGCTAAGCAAGGATATATATACAGGAGTTCTACCTACAAAAGGCACTGATTTTTTCATCAGTCTCATCTTGCTGTAATAGAATGTTACCTAATGATGCAGCTCTGGAGCAGCTCAAAATTCACTCAGAACCAGAAACACCAAGAAAGCTGTGTTCTTCCATGGGCTCCGTTCTTAAGAAAAGTTCCAGGGAGAGCAGGCCACAGCTTTGGGAAGCAGGCCAGAACTTCCCAGTTTAAAAAAGCAAGGCAGCTGAACTCTCAGTAGATTTGCTGAAGAATTAAGAGCCTGTGTGGCTATTTACCTCACTGGGAAGAAGTCATTTTGGAAAAAAGAAAAGAAGAAAGGGGGGGTTAGGGTTGCAGTTTCAGCAGCAAGTAGTGAGTCCCAGCAGAGGTGGTATGAGGACACATGTCCTGATTACCAAGGAAGCCAAACAGTACAAGTCATTTTATCAGCTATTAGACTTCAGGCCTCAAATAAGAGTGGCTGCTAAATAAACTAATAAAGATGCCATGCTTTCAAAAAGGAGTGTCTTTTAAAGAACAAAGTCATCATTCAAGAAAACAATGTAGCATTTAAGTATTAAATCTCAGCCAGATGAGGTGGTGCATGTCTACAAG